TCAGTCTCAGTTCGCGATTCTAAAAAATGTCTTGGCAGTCAATCAGGTCAGTTCACTACCTCCAGACTGACAGTTTGAACCGCAAAGATGAACTGACAACTGACTGATTGACTGATAGCAACTCTGACTAGACATGACTGCAGGGCAGATCCGTCTTTTTCAGCTGCTACCCGGGAACGATGAGCCTGTGCACATAAAGTTCACTGTCTGCACCATGACAGAACTGACTTTCGATGCACTCTCGTACAGCAGATCGGGAACGGAAGAAAAAATCTACATCGAATGCGAAGGCTATATTATTCGTATCTCTCAAACCTTGCATCATTTCTTGCGGTTACTACGTCAATCTGGGCATGTTGAACCTTTATGGGCAGACGATATCTGCATCCATCGCATTAGTAGCGTCGAGAAGAGTACTATGAAGGAGGCCGACTATATATTCGCCAAACTTCCCTTTATCTATAATACGGCGCAACGCACATTATGTTGGGCTGGGGTTGAAGATCTTCCGTTTCTGCAAGATCTGACGTCCACGACATCTGGAGTTCGTGATTACCAGAAAGTGATGCTCGAATGCCTTTCAGCAATCATTATCCTTCACTCGCCATACAAAATCGTAGAAAACGACCTAGAAGTGTTTGGGAAAGAATTAGGGGTGCTCGATAGCGATACATGGCACATCATGGATTCATTTCTGAACCAAGCCTACTTCATTGAGTCCGTTCGATCCTTTTTCCAACTCTTCACGGACTGACCAAGCATTAGTGTCGATGTGATTAAAGACATTGTGTGGTCTCGGAATCCAGTCATATTTGACAGAGAACGAAAGATTCACTGGAGTGATCTAGCACAAAACTTGCTCGCCTGGCTGTTCTTCAACCCCAAGTTAGGACCGCGGCCCCCAGCGACTATGTTTGTGCTTCTTTGTGAAGCCATGCGGCGTATGTACCTTGGGCAAAACGACAAGCATACGAAAGTGCAAGATTTGGTAACATGGGTACGAGGCCAATCAATTCGTGTCAATCTTCTCAGCAATCTTGTACTTAGAACTGACCTCCCCCTTCCCTATTCTTCTGTCGAAACACCTAAGAAAGACTATGGTTCGCCAACGACAAAACCCTACCGTCTAATTCCTGACCACTTAAATCCTCTGGCTAGCGACTCTAACCAGCCACTAAGTTTCGTACAAGTGGACGGTGTCAACTTGTATTCACAAAACTTAGTGGGGTACTGGATCTATCCTACGAAACGGTTCCTGCTTAATCACCCTGTAAGTAGCTTCTCAGCATCCAGACGACCGGATGCCGCACAATCTCTTATCAGGGATGGGTGGCATCCAGACGCTGACGAACCAAACGCTGACGAACTCGCGCCCCTGCGATTCATGGGCATTATAGCGGACGCTATTCGAGGCACGAGCGACTATATGCCTCCGCGGCGTCACTGCTACCATTACGATGTAAATGATCATTGCCTCTTCTTTGTTAACTGGTATGAGTTTGCGACAGAGCATTCGAACCGCGCGGAAGATGATTTATTGCTCCGTTATGCCGACACTATCCAAGCCAGAGGCTGCGGGCACTTATGGGAGTATGCGTCAATCACGCCTCAGGACCGTATCCAAAAAGCACGAGCATTCCTCGATTTCCTCTGCGATGAGGATGCTGTTGAATCCGATAGGAAAACTCTATCAGGCTATTCCATGCCGCTTGTTTTCCGTCTCATGACAGAAAGTTTGCGGTCACTAAAAAAGGTCGCTTTTGCCTCGTGCCCAAAGATACCCAAAGCGGCGACCTCGTTTGCATTCCTTACAACAGCAGAGTGCCCTACATCTTTCGACGGGGTAAAGAGGATGATCCTTTCACAAACATCGGGGAGGCCTTTGTTCATGGGATGATGCACGGGGAAATAAGCGAACCGAATGATGGGGAAGTGAGGGACTTCTTTTTTGTGTGATCACAAGCATACGCAGCTACGATCTAAAATCATTATTTGTCTTCGTTGGGCTCCACTAGTTTAGTCTTTACTACACTTAATTTCGAAACGAATCTTTCCATCACTGATGGCCGTCCTTGGTGTGGCTTTGCCCCACGTTCAGATGTCGCATTATAGGACTCTTGAGTCATAACCTCTAGCTTTTCAACGTTGTGTGGTTTCGAAATAGTGATAACATCGTGCATTTGAGTGTGTTCAATTGCTGGTGAGTCGGCAACCTCGATTCCATACTCTGAGACTATATCGACAAGCTCTGCACTGAGTGATTGACTTTTCATCTCGCTACCATGCAGGTTTTTGACTGCATTAGCATGGTAGACATATGTTTGGTATAGTGCTGAGACGTGAGAGGAATACTCCTTTCCATGCGGCGCTGTTTTGATCTGCGAATAGAGAGCTTTACAGATAGCCTCATCTGGATTGAAATGCGGCTCTGCCCACTGTCTGACATCGGTTGTCGGTAGAAGCAAGTAGTCTCGTACAGTTCTGTGCAGGAAGTCCACTGTGTATTCGAAGAGTATCGCAGAAGGTAATGAATCCTGCTCTTCGGTCGTTGATCGAAAAGAAGGCTCTAGGAGACCTTTGCAACTCGCGATCAAGCGCTTTTTCGCGTCTTTGTGCCGTTTGATTCTTTGTTGCATCTTTAGTGGTAGACGCTGCTTTGGTAGATCTTCGCCTAGAAACCAGTATGCCATAAGTGGAAGATTTTCCTTCGCTTCTAGTGCTACCAAGAACATGTGAGAAGCCTCGCTACGGTACGATTCCTTTACGTCTCGAAAAAGTATGCGCTCGAACAATTCTTCTAGATTCGTGGGCAACTTGCGCAGGCGTTGCTGTAGACGAGCGATGCTGTCTGCTTCACACAAACCGTCTTGCAAAGACCTGACAACAAGTACTACCCATAAGAACACTCCGTTCGCTGCGGTAACTATTTCTAGAATAAGTTCCTTTCCGAGTGTCTCTCTGTCCTCTAGCTCTTGGTAATTGTTGTCGTATTTGAAGACGTCGTTGATGTATGCGTTGATGTCCTGATGATTGAAGTCTTGCATGTACAACTTGTCTGTACGATTTTTGCCAAAGGCATCTTCAAATTCGTTCCATTGACGACTGGACACGCATAATTTCACATGTTCGAGATCTCTCAAACCTTCTACTAGCTTGATCACGTCGCGCGAATCCCCCACATATTCATCTAGACCATCGATGAGGAAACACAGTCGCTTCTCAGACTGAGTATGAAGGTCACATACATTTTTCAATGAATCCAGCAGTTCGGGAATGGTATACGGCATCTCGGAGTCCAGTGAGATGTCTGCGTTTCCAGGAAACCCAGTCTTGGTAGGATTGTGACACTGCCAGACGCCAGGGAAAGCCAATCGGATATATTCTGGGCATTGTCGTAATATCTGGTAGAGTAAAGACCGTAAAAGACCCTCTTGTGATTTCTGAAGATCGTTCTTCCCAGCATTCCAGAAGAAGTATTCGGCGATGATTACCTCATCGTTCCCAGCCCAAGTGGCCAGATGCCCCTTTGTTTTCTGGTGGTGACAAAGGAACTTCATGAGCGTGGACTTTCCTGAGCCAGGCCGACCAGAAATCCAGTATAAATTGTTGTCCGAATGTAACCACTGCACGAAGGTTGATGAGCCGTTGACCTGATTTTGGCCTTACAAACCTGTGTCTCCGAACAACCAGGCCAAGGTATTGCGGTGGGCTGGTGACAGCAACCGATAGCGATCTTCCAACCGAACAAAGCGAAGTCTAGACAGAATCTTTTGTTCCGCAGAGTAGTGCAGGCCATCTGATGCTACCTTGCTCATAAGATCGGCCGATTCTTCCACACCAGTATTGTTTTGATTGTTTTTCAATGCCTGATCGAATTCTCGCCTCAGAGCCAGGATGTCCACGGTCCGCGTACTCTCGAGTCGACGATTGATCTCGAGTAGTTCATTGAGGCGAGAGTAGATACCCAGATTGTTCTCGTCTGCAAGGCGTGCATTGATTGCTTTCGCGACACGATCCAATCTTTCGCGTAGAGCTCCGATCTTATCATCATTCCATTGTGTCTTTAGCGCTTGAAGGAAACTCCTCCACTTGTTTCGGTCGTTATGTAATTTGAGCGCGTCGAGAATATCAAGTAGCTCATCTGCTATCTCGTTGCATCTAACCGCCAATGCCTCAAGGGAATTTCCGTCATCGCCTTCAGGGACATCTCTGGCATTTCCTGGTAGGATGATGCGGGCTGATCGAGAGCGCAGCTCTTTTGAGATAAGTCCCAACTCAATGTACTCTTCCTTAGTGCCTGAGCCGAGAACTTCACGACTGGTAGATACCAAGTGCCTTGCTTCATGGACAAATTGTAGGATATTTGCAGCGAGGCCGACAGCGGCGAGGGATTCCATGTTATGATCGGGCGCAAAGCGCAAGAGTGAACCTTTTACGGTGAGTTTGAGTCAGCGAGGTTTGTGATTTAAGTCAAATACGCCATGTGCGACCAACACAGCCTTGTTGGGCCGCTGCGCGGTGGCTGCTTATCACAGCGGCACACCCAGCCCGATTCGCTGCGTTAGGCGGGAAAGGTCCCTACGCGAGGAGGCTGAAGGATCTCAGCAAGCAGGCTAGGTTTGCTGCAGCCTTGCGCTGAGGGTGTTACCGGTCAACATCTATTAGCTGTTCAGCCTCGCGTTCGAGATTGATTGCATAGAAGCGTGCGCAACTTGTCGCGCTAGTAAAATAAATGACGTCGAGCAGGAGCGACCGCTTTCTTCGAAAGGAAACAACACAACAGCACAAAATCATGACACCGCAACAATGTACGAGTCAGCGGGGGATATTGTAGGTACTGCGATTACTGCGCATATTCATTTATGTTCGCTCGAATGACCACATCCCTAGCCCTAGTGCAAGAACTCGTTGAAGAAGTTCACAGCACTCCTCTTCGCCCTCTCCAAGCCATCCTTCTGCTTCTGATCGTTGGGATCACCACGCGCAGCGAAGCCGTGGTTTAGACCAGGGAAGTAGACGTACTCCCACTGCACACCCGTCTTTGGCAGCGTCTCGAGCGTAGCCTTCTTCAGCTCCTCCGTGTACATTTGGTCGTGCTCGGGAGAGAGGACCTGCACGGGGACCTTGACGCCCTCGATTTCCGACTTCTCGAGCAGCGAGGGGTGGGCGGTGGAGATGGCGTCGATGAGGGAAGGGTCGGCGGCGAGCTTGAAGCAGGCCCAGCCGCCATAGCAGAAGCCAATGGCGGCGACCTTCTTGTATTGCGACTTGAGCGTTTGCGCGTGCTGCTTGATCTCGGGCCAGCGGATCTCCTTGCTGTTGCGGCCGAGGAAGGCCATGATGTCGAAGTTCTTTTGTTTCTCTGGGTTGGAGAGCGCGTCGGGGTCTACGACTTCGCCGCCGAATCTGCGCAATTGCGGTTAGTCGCGCTGATGGTGTGCGTGTGTCGCGTCGCTACTTACACATCGGGTACGTAGACGGTCGCATTGGCTTCCTTTGCGTAGTGGTCTGCGATGAGGCGGATGTTGGGAAGCGTCCAGCCGAAGACATCAGTGACGATGAGGATAGCGGCATCCTTGTTGTCGCCAGTGACATAGCAGTCGATCTGGTCGAGCTTGTCCACCTTGCCAACGGACTCGCCGTTCCACTTGAAACCTTTCTTGCAGTTTTCGCAGGCCATTGTAACGGTATATAAAAGGAGTTGATGAAGTGTGAGATGAGATTGGTGTGACAATTGAGCGCTATCTGAAGAATTTGGCGGGGTCGAGAGGCCTTATGTCGTGCAAGCTTCGAGTGGGGTACGGCTCGATCATTATGCAGTTACGTGCATGAAGAGAGGAAAGATAGCCCGGCTTCTGGCCGATTCCGTCATGGGGGCCAATCATGATGCCAGGGCGGAACGTCGCATTGATTTGATTTTCCGGCAGCCGATGTTGTCGTGGTGTGGATAATGACGATGATAGCTGGTACCGGATTTTGCAGTCGCGCAAAATTAAACCCGGACCTGTCTCGCCGATATCCGCCGCTTCGCTGACAGAGACGGCCTCCAGGCTGTGTGTAGAAAACATCCTCGCTCAAGGAACTTGCATATCTCCGCTTCTCGGTGCCTGCTCAACGATGCGAGGCAACCTGTATAGCAAAGTACGTACCGATACTACCTGGTCGATGCAAATCTTGAAGAGCCGACACGTATGTAGAAGGTGTCGCGAACGCCTTGCGGCACTCTACCTGGACTCCGGTTTCTTTACGGGCAGCCGTCAGGATGCGAGCAAATCTGTAGTCTCTGCGACTTGCAGTAGATGTTCAGATTGCGGAAAAATTCGTTCTATTGATATTCTCGCGAATGAGCTCATCAGTGGGATAATCAATGGCCGAGTCTGCGATGGTGCCCAAGTATCTAATCTACTGGATTGCCCGGGGAAAATGGTCGATAGATCTCCAACCCCTCCGTAGTTTCGCATAGATCATCATGGAAATATGTTGTGGGCTTTTTTTTTCTTTCACCTACAGGCTCTTCCGCCTGCTCCAGGGATGGCTTTGAAATCACGACATCATCCCGCTTAGCCGCGCTTTCACATGTATCTTCCACTGCGCGATGGCAGGCTCATAGCAGTACACTCAGAAGAGGTGATTGGCTGATCGAGCAGGTCGCATAGACATGTAGTCTTTCTGCCTTGCCCGCTTGACGGATGCGTCTGGTTCCTGGGTAAATCAAAACTTCCAAGACTGTTAGGACCGAACAAGACATGCCGGCCGCTTCTATCATCGAAGTTTCAACTATATGGCTATGTTGCAGATACCAACGCGATTCAGCTATACACGATTCCCTCTTAATCCTTCCAAACGCTCGAATGCATACTCAGCCCACTCCCCATCACGACACTCGTCGTCCCATCTTCATCCATCTCCCAACTTTGTCCACAAGACCAAACAGGGTCATCGGGGTCGCTGGATTCCTGTGATATCTCAATCAGCTCCCATATCCTCATATCCACACACTTCCTACAATCCTCAAGGTCTTACGTACCGCGTCAATGCAGCAAAACCACCCCCTAGGATAAACTTCTTCAGTGCAATCAGTGGCGTTGGCGACGGAGATGGGCGTGTCACAAGGTGGGCCGTGAGAGTGCAGTTCAGTGCAACAGTAGTCAGCGTAGCGCGCGCCGAAGTAGATCTGGCAGAACGTTTCCTGCGCAATTGAGGTAGTGAGGAAATAGAGAAGAACGGAAAGCGTAGGTAAGAGGGTGCTAAAGGTTGGCAAGACCATTGCTCCTTGAAAGGTCCAACCAGATGCGAATGGAAAAGCTATAGCTGAAGCCTTGTGTTACGTATTTCAAGGGAGGATGCGACAGATGATGAGTGAGATGAGTGGAAAAGAAAAGTACAAGGTGATATATGTGTATGCATCGGCTGACCCGCATCTCGGTTTTCTCTACCAATTCTAGAACGTTACAACGTAACGTTGCACATATTCCCCAACAACAACTACAATTCACATCTACCCCAAATGAGTGATAGAGACACGGAAAATCACACCCGAATATCGCTACCAGAAATAGCATGCCGCAGGCTATGCTCAAGTCTGCCTTTGAGCAACCGCCCTAGCCAGACTTTCACCCATGGCGTTGGAGCCAAAGTAATCCCAGTATACCTGGATCAACTGATCCATAGTCATCTCTGACGTGACGATACCACTTGGTCCATGACCAAATAGCGGGCCGGAATCTGAGTATTCCTAATATGGACGTCAGTTTCAGTAACCACAGGGAGCTCAAGTCGATGGGAACCTTTAGCAATGCAAACATACATTTTCAACACAAACAGCCCATCCAGTGGGGAAGTGGTTGGTCGAGCACTCAGTCAGGTTGCTGACGTACTCGATGTCGGTACAGGGCGCGTTTATACCGCGGCTGATGACGGTGTGGCAGCATGCGTCCGTGTAGTCGGTGCAGTAGAGGAATCCGCAGATGGTGTCGTCGGAACTCAGTTGAGCTGTGGCGAGATGAACAAGAGACACTGCGAGAGCGATGATTGGGGTTGAGTAGCGCATTGTAAAGTACGAGACGACTTGTGGGGTTTGGTGTTTGGTCGTGATGGGATGGTGAGAACAGGTGTTGCTGTGATGAGGTTAGCAAGTGTGATATGGCGTTGACGGCTGTACTTGTATGTGTCGCTGGAGGTTTGGTTAACACCAGTCAAGATGGGCATGCACGCGATGACACTGCTGATACAGTGTTTGCAGGATTAATTTCTTGCCTTCCCGATGGAAAGACAGGGTACCCGCTGGTGTTTTCTCCGGAAGGAAGGGGATAGTTGCAGAGTCGTACGTGCAAGGCTCTTGGATGCGCAACAGAGATCATATCGATGTCTGGTGTAACCCGTTGATAAATGCCCAGGCGACAACAAAAAGACTGCGGCGCTTTGGTAGTATGCTCATGTCAGGAAACTTCCAAACGGCCTATGACAGGTTCCATGTTGTTTCTCCTTCACGCGAGCAGCTTGCCATTGTTTTCTCGATACGCAAGGTCTATCCGCTGATGCTACCCAAACCGGTGGAGTGACATGCACATATGTATCATTAACCCTCGGACGAGGTTTATCTTCAGTAAGATGACTTCGAGTAGATGAAAGACGTCAGATCCGCTCCAGGTATCCGTCCAGCTAGTCATCGGTTCAGATGACCAGATCTGAGCGGTGGACAAAGTACGTTGGTAGGAGCACAACATGCGGGCCAGTATCGCTTATGATGTTGGCGAGGTCAACAAGATGCGTATGTACTTCTAAGAAAAGATGTATTCGAAAAGGGCAAGTATTCGAGATGCCTGTCTCGCGTAGGCATCAACACCTTGCATATTGTTCGGGCTAGAAGGGAAAGCCGAACCGTATGCGCCTTGCCGCCTAGCAGATGTAAGACAAGGATGCGCTTGCTTTGTAGAGAAGATTATGTAACCTCCAAGGCTCCTTTAGGTACCTTGATGCTGTGTAATAGGAACTACACAGGGCGCACTTGATATGGTGCATGCAATACCAGGAATCAGTTGCCGCCTCGAGCAATTCATGGGAATCCGTTCGCATCTTGCTTGTCATTCATCGCGTACGCTGAACTTATTGGTCAGATAGCGCAGGACTTGTGCTATGGCCATTTGTTGCGGCATATGAGCATGGACGTGAGGATATTTCGTTGCGATATACGTCCCCTCGGCTGACGTTCGAGTGGCGTAACGCCAACACGTTTGAACCGGACCAAAGGAATTCCGACAGCGATCCTTGGTTCATCAACGTGAGATTGAGACACCTATAGCCAGGGCAGATTTGCTAAAGTCAATGGTCCGCGGCTCTCCTGCGCGACACTTGCAGCGTGCTCGGACGCGGGTTCGGAGCGTTGTGGGGAACGATC